AGGGGCAGACGGACGCCGGATACTTTGGCTCAATTGAGCTTAAAATGATGCCTTTTGATACCTTAGACATATGCTTCTGCAATAAAAGTGAAACTCGGAAATTTCGTACCTTGTAATTGGTTATCAACAAAGTTACTTTTTTATAAATCACTCTTATTCTACATATAAGTACAGTGAAATTGGTATTCAAAGGATGTTGGAGTATCTCATTGACAACATTTATGTGGTCTTCGGAGACCATGTCCTCTAACAAATGTTGGAATACTGATAAGCACTAATTGTGCTGCTATATTTTTTATAGTCCTATGAACCAGAATTTATTCAAACACTTCTACATGAGAAGAAGAAAATACTTACTTTGGTCCTCAACTCGACATTCAGATATATCAGTTAATAATAGTTACATGTATCATCTTATGTCGATTCGATATTTCCCAGTGAACTTGAAATAAAAGACAGTACAGGGTATGTCACATCTGTTTCATATTTAGATGTTTAACTGACAATAGACGATAAAGGCCAACTAACAATAAATTGTATGACAAACTAGATAACTTCAGCATTTCAATCGTCAACTTTCCCTATTTATATAGTAATATTCCTCTATCACCTGCATATAGTGTTAACGTCTTCCAACTTGTTCGATTCTCAAGAGCATGCTCTGAATAGGGTCAATTTTTAAACCCAGGTAAGCTACTAACAGATAAGTTGATGTTACAGGAATTTCAACAACTTCATTTAAAGTAAGCATTTCGTAAATTCTATGGTCCTTATACATGTACTGACCTTATTAGCAAATATAACATATATTGAATTAGGTTGTGTTTTGGATGCCATGTTTCATACCAAATGTTAAGCCTTTGTTTTCAAATAAAATTTGATTATGGAATGTTCCATCTACTTATTCAATACATATGGCTCACGGCGGTCAGCAGTGGATGCTTACTCCTCTTTAGCACATGATCTCACCTCTGGAATTTCCAGGGGTCTGTATGTATGCTTTAGTTCACACTTTGTATTGTCTGTAGATTCCTTCACCGTTTGTTATCTTCACTTTTTTCATCTGAGAGAGCATCAAGTAGTAATTCATGTTTACGAAAAATAACGTGCAAAAAACTTACAGGTGCTACCACAGGTGTTCAGCAGTTACATATTAAAATAAATATTTACGGCATAATATTGTAAGACTATTCTCAGAATGTGTTTATGAGACTTAAGATACAAAATATTAGAAGGTACACATTGTTGACGAAGCATATCTATGAAATAAAATCATAAATAGATATAAGCTAATATTAAATTCAGAATTCAACAGGAAATTATAATTTAAAAGCTTGTTTTCAGATTTATGAGATGTAGACATGAAAACATAAGTACTTCTTCAGCAATTTGTACATTTTCACCAATTTATGAAATATATGATCTAACGAACAGTATTTAATTAAGATCAAAAGTCCAATATATATCAGGAGCTGAGCAAGGTGGGATCAGGTGCCATAAAAAATGTTGCACCTGAAAAATTAAAGACTTTTTGCCTCTCACTTCCATATAATTAAAAAAAATATTCTATAATAACACTCAAACAAAAGATCTATTATCAACTCCGTCTCATGCACAATATTTAGCTATTAGTTGGAATTATTATTCAAGGTACTTATGAAATGAAAAATGTTTTTATTACACCTATGGACCGTTCACGGCAGCTCAGTCGGTAGAGCGCTCGCTCCGTGATCGGGAGGTCGTGAGTTCGAATCTCGGCCGCGACTGACCTAAGTCGATAAAAATTGGGTAACAACTGTTCCTTCGCCATACGCTCCGCACTTTGAAGTGAAAGTTGCTGGTCCTTCGGATGAGACCTTAAAAACCGAGGCCCCGTGTCACTGCAGGCGTTGGCACGATAAAGACCCCTCACTGCTCAATGGCCCTGAGTGCCGAGTAAAGGTCAAAATTTGACGCCCTTCACGGGAATATGGTGACGTCTCTATCTGAGTGAAAAATTCTCGAATGGGACGTAAAACAACATTCAGTCAATCAATCAATATTACACTTATCGAGAGCTACTTTCCGGAATATAGGTACATTAATACATGTATGATAAAATGGTCAAATGTCATTACTATTTGGGGTTGGGAGTGTTTTCGGTAAAACAATGAACATTTTATTGGAATTGAATAATAAATAATATCTTTTTTAAAAAAAAATATTTGTATTCATTGTTAATATTAAATGGACAATATAAACCACCATGTTTTCTTCGCATTAGCGAAAGTCAATGTGTTGACATGTTAAAACAGAATGTACTATGCTAATAGTGTCTTTTTTCTGTTTTTTATTATCATGACAATGCAGTTTATGTACAAAATGCTTATGTCATTCTTTTTTGTTAGTTTGATTTCCAAAAAACTTTCTTGTTGATACTGACAAGCTCGTTTTCAGATTTATGAGATGTAGACATGAAGACATGAGTATCTATTCCGATGCTCTTCTTCAGCAATTTGTCAATTTTTGCCAAATAATAAAACATGTTCCACCTCAAAAATATATAATTAACTTGTTAGCAAATACAACCTATCATTGGGTCGTATTTTATTTTGACTGATATATCATATCTATTGTCGGGGCTTTGTTTTTATACTAAATTTGACTACAGATTAATCCGTCTAGCTGAGCAATACAAAGGGCTCCGATAGACAGGGGATGCTTACTCCTTTTGGGCACCTGATCCCACCTCGGGAATTTCCAGGGTCCACGTTTTATGCCCTGTTCACATATGTCATTTGTTGGTATTATTTACAACGATCACAGTTATCTTCTCCAATTTCAAAGACCTTATAAGAAGCTCCAACCAAGTCAATATATGGTCGCTATAGCGTTCAGAACCTCTTGTTGAAATGAACAAACGTAATGTTTCATGCGCATAATAATGAAGTTAATCATGTGATAATAATGCTCAATTCAGAGTTCTCCCATATGTTTTCCTACTGATCTACTAATATACAGTGCAGATAGAAAAAAATCCTGTTCTCACGTAGGAAGTCAAAGACTTTTCCAATTACGAGCACTACTTCAACCCTTGTGTAATCTTTCCGTACTCAACGAAATCAAACCTGTAACATCCTCGGAGTCTTGTAATGACCTGATGACCTAATCAATATCTTTCTTAAATAGTGCGTAATCGGTAGGCGATTGTAATTACTTACTGCATGGATATTTTATTGATAATGAATCTACATTTGCTAAAGGAGAGTCTATTGGGGTGGCATTTGCTGATACCGACTGGGAACATATTAATATGACTTTTAATATGTTACCAGTTTTTTCATTATCGAATGATTTCCAACTGATAATAATCATATATCATTTACAACTGAAATTTACCCCAAAAAAACCCAAGATAAACCATTTTTCTTCAACTAAATCGTATTCCGGGAGATAAGGTCAGCACTAAACAAATTGGCATGGCATTCTTTCTTTCTTAGGTTGATTCGGGTCACATAATGGGTTTAGTCATAAACATTTATAAAACAATGTACATGTGTAAAAGGATTTATCACTGTCTTCAATTAAATTCGTGTAAAAGTTTTTTTCTCAAAATATTCCACATGTAACTTGTATTTAGCAGTATCAATAAATAATGAATCATCTACCACGTGAAAGTCAATGGCAAAAGTTCAATCTGTAGCACGTAGGTTACAATTAATATATAATAATGTGGATAGAGCATTGTTTTTGAGATAATATATAAGACTTAAAATATTTTAAGCACTTGTGTCGGGTGTCGATAGGCAAGAGGTGTGAACAGAAATATTTCATACACATACATACATATAAATATAATGTTTGTATGCGGTCCGGTGTAATGGTCATCTGTAATGTGGAGAAATATGAAGCAAGAAGGACTAATTTCAAAGGTAATCTGAGATGAGTGTGATAGAGGTCAGCGCTAAACTAAGATAAGAGAGTCCAAGGTTAGAGCTAAACTATGAGCAGAAACAGGAGAGTATATCTTGTTTAGTGGAATTTCAGATCCCCACCTTACAGAAGGATAGGAACCAAGCGTACAGTCCCATGTAACAAACAAATTCTTTGTAAAATGTGCTTCGATGGAATGAATTCGTTGCGAGTCTACAATTAAGTGTTAGTAGCGGCTGTAATGAAGACAAAAGTCAACAGCTTATTACTTTGCACTGGTAGGTCTTTAGGTATGCCGTTGAGTCATTAGACCAAATTTTTCCGACCAATATACTGAGAAAGTTTTGATTAAAAGTTTTCTCAATATATACATACTCTATGTTCAAAAAGTAAAAGACTGAATAGTTTTCTCAATAGATACATACTCTATGGTCAAAAAGTAAAAGATTGAATAGTTTTCTCAATATATACATACTCTATATGGTCAAAAAGTAGAAGATTAAAAAGTTGTTTCAATATATACATACTCTATGGTCAAAAAAGTAAACCTAAGGATAACCTGCTTTTTCTACTATTCTCAAATGTCCAAACAAAATCTTAAGAATCCCCATTTCAATACACATAAAACTAAATACAGATGTTAATTGTGACTTTTAAAGGAAGTATGTATGTTTTACAAAATTTTCTTATTTAAATTACAGTTGCTTGAGTAAATATTATTTGAACTTTAAAATTCCTTTAATAAAACATTAATAAAACGATAAAACGTAAAATACATAACAGTTAGTTAGCAATACTTTTGACAGAGAGGTATATACAAATTTTGATTTTCAACTCTGACAAGAAAGCAATTGTGATTGACACTGCCTTAAGTATCCTGCCTATTATCGCGCCCTTTTAGAGTTATAGAAGAGGTTTTTACGTGAAGGTTCTACATGGACGCATTAAACACACCCGATCTGGATTGGCTTCCGATTCCAAGACTTTACATTAATGTCGCCACGCAATTCTTAGTGAATAAAATCAGATAAAATCTTCTCTCACCTACAGATTTACCATTATCGTTTACCAATCGTCAACAAATCACCATGCAGCACAACACAACTCTGAATGTATCCAATGTTTCTGTAGAAGTCGCTGAAACACCTAAATATTTGATACCAGTACCACTGTACTATACCATAGGAACGGGACTTTTGTTCGTTGTTATGATTGGTCCATTTATGAGCATCACCAGTTTAGTAGTTTTCGCTAAAAACAAGCACCTGCAATCTCCAACTAATATTTTTGTCATTTCTCTTCTCGTGGGAGACGCTGGGATGAGTTGTGGCGCGTTTATATCAATGACAGCGAACTTTAATCGTTACTACTTTTGGGGCGACAACGTATGTACTTTTGAGGGATTTTGGTTATACTTGATGGGACTTACAAATTTGTATACACACGCTGGCATTGCCTACGATAGATATATCATGATTGCCAAGCCTCTTCAAGCTAACAAAATTACAATGAGACTGGCGGTGGTGGTTGTGCTAGTGATTTGGTTTCAAGGCTTTTGTTGGGCGGCATTTCCCTTTTTCGGATGGGGAAAAATCACGTATGAGCCTGCGCGAACATCTTGTGCCGTAGAATGGGACTCTAAAGAATTGGGATCGGCTAGTTACAACATAGCTATTACGATTTGGAGTTTATTGATACCTTTAGCTGTCATCTTTTTCTCTTACTACAGAGTCATGATGACGGTGAGTACAATTTATTTTTGTGTTATATTTTCAGAAATATTATTTAAATTTGAACAGATCAACAATAGTCCTTAAATGATTTAAAAGTAATTTATAATTTTCACTTTGTATTTCATCATGGGCAAGATTATTAATCTATAGCAGTGAATTTACTATTCTAGTCGGCATAATCAGGGGATATTTATATACAATCTGTTCAATGCACTCTAAAAATGCTTCATTATTTCTCTGAAAATTAGATTTAAAATGTATCTTCATTTCAGTTATTTTCAAATTAAAAGATTTTAATGATGACCGAGCAGCTGCTTTATGTACATCAAAAACAGAGGAAATTAATAGCTATTCTCTGTAACCACTTAAACTTCTTTGCCACGCATGGTCACCGATTTTGATGAAACTTTGCTCTTTATTACAACTTGACACCAGAAACGTATATCAGATAAAATTTCGTTGCTATGTGTCTTGGTTGCCATGGTAACAGCCAGAAAATTTGGAAAAATTGAGATTTTCAGCTACTTTGAATCTTTCTTAAGCCTTAATAAAGACTGAGAATAACAAACAAACCATTCTCACAAAAACTTGACACCTTGTTGCCACTTATGCTATAAAGAAACTATTTAGAATTTATCTCTAAGAAAGTGGTAACCATGTGTACATTTGGAATACATTTTAGATGCTGAAAAATGCTCAATGTTCACTAATGAAAGGTGTTACATGATCAAACTCAATCAAAAACCTAAGAAAAACAATAAAAATATTTGACCTTGAGTAATTAGGAATTGGCAATATTATTCTGTTATTATTAAAACCATGGCAACCATTACCAACCTATAGGAAAAATCATATTTTGTCCTTGGTATATGTAACAAGGATCTTTTGTCTATTATTTGCTTGCATTTCATCCTATAATTGTTTTTATTCTTAAGTGTATGACTCTATAAAATTAAATGAACAAAATTATTAATTTTGAATACTTCGTATGTAATAGTTGATTTACCAAACATGTTTATCATGCATTTAAGACATCGGGCCTTCATCTTTCAGAAACAGTCATTGCCACTTGTTTGCTTTGCTGCGAACGTTAACTGTGGGACTCTGAACATGTTGATAAATACCATTTTTCAAACTTTAGGACATGTTGCTATGGTAACCATGACACGTAGCAACCAATTTTGCGTGATTTGAGTTTACAGCATCAAAGACTTTTATAATAGAGAGTTTGGAGAAATTCTGAGACTATGCGTGCCACATAAAAGTTCAAGTCATTACAGAGAATGGCTCTTAAATGCATGTAAAATAAGCGCACTTGTGAAGTGAATATTTTGTAACTGGTTTAAAGTGAATTTGTTTTTACCGTTATAATTATTTCAACATATTTTTTATCGCAAAAAGGAGAAAATATGTTGTTATGGCAAAGAATACATAAAGTTAAATAAAACTAATCCTAGCCCTACCTTTTCAAAATATCATAGACTCGGTAAAGTCGCCAATCTCAGGCAGTCAAGTAATGTTGATTTTATAAAAAGTCCTCCCTCCCACAACTATTATACATACAGATCAGAAAACTAATGGTTTAATTGTGTATGGCTGTATCATAAACACTTCTTAATGTTCAAAATATTGATTAAACTTCATTTGACCTTGTTCAGTGTCAAAGGAAAGGATTCATTTCTCGATGACATTTGGCAAATACAAATACAATGTCTTTTTCGTATCAGTTTTCCACTATTGAAAAAAAAAATTGCAGAATAGGAGGTATACATAATGTGGATATTGTTTTGATAGTTTTATACAGGTATTTTGCAAAAGTGTATAGTGATTTCTCGAAATGACAAAAAAAAATCCTCACTAATACGAAATATCAATTTATAATTATTAGATTAATTCACCAAACTTTCATTCTTGAACATATTGGTGAAATGAAATGTAATATAAGTTGATGAAATAGAGAATATTCCATACTAAAATCCTTATCATGTCAATCAGCCCAAGTGGCCCCGTATTATTTGACTTGTGATATACAGATTGTAGAATTTATTTATTTATCATATATTTGAAATAAGTTGATACGGAAATTCATATATTTTATTTTTGGATTTCAAAGTCATTCAAGATTTTTGGTGCATATACATACTATTTTAAAAGTAAATAGAGTAAGTTTGAGTGATTATAACTTATTAAGTCAACAAAATGTTTAGTACGCGTAAATTGTAATGTATATACAATGTATATTTCGATAAAATGGAGCTAATTTACTTTTTAAAAATGTTCCAAGATTTATGCCTCAATACCCTATCTATTCTGAGATTATGGCATAGCCCCCATCTGAGAATATGGTATAGTCCCTCTCTGAGGTTATGGTATAACCCCCCCCCCTTTTTTTAACAAAAAAGTAAATAGGGTTTTTTTTCTTGTGTCTTGCCGGCTGTGAATGAATTCCACAAACCTTCACTTGAAATGCATTTCTTTATAATATATAGCATTAGGTTTTTCAATGGGAGATGGTGTCTAAACTTTTTTTCTGATTTCACACACATTCAATTTTCACTGACATCTGACATTGGATAGACATTAAACAATCGTATTTTTCCTGACAACTGTGATTAAAGTTCAGAAGCAAAAATATTCACTGACAGAAAGAATGGTCAAAAAATTCTAAACCTTTTCTCAGCTCTGTTTGTATACATTATGTAATTTAAAATGAAAATAAACAAATATCTGTATATTAGCCCTCCTTGGCTTAACAATTCCAATATTTCCATGATCTTCAGAGACACGTTATCTTTCAAACAAAATACTCTGAAACGTTACAGATACAACAAAATACTCTGAAGCGTTACAGATAAACAAAATACTCTGAAACGTTACAGATAATCATATATAATAACTTTATATCGCCATTGGAAAATCTACTTAACACAGAAACCTCATGGCATTGAAATCTTATTTACTGCATTCTTATCCAGTAGTCACGAAATAGGTATATTTTTTTGGGGGGTGGGGTGGGGGGTGGGGGGGGTGTTATACTTGCACTATATTATATATATATATATATATATATATATATATATATATATATATATATATATATATATATATATATATATATATATATATATCTCAACAAAATGAAATATGATAATTTTCATATTTTTTTAAATTGCTTAATGTATTCAGATCAATTTCTTTTAACCTTCAGCGAGTGTATATTTCATTACTTTACTGCAATTCATTATCTTCGTTTGATAACATGAAATGAAGAGAAATGTGATTATAATGCTCTTCAATGAATTTGTCTACATTAATCAATAGTCACGAAAATAACCTAGCGATATTCATCAAAAGTAATCATAGAGATTTCCTCCGTTCCCAGAATTCGTGACAATTCTTAATATAAATGTTCCAACAGAAATCATAAAGAATTTTGAAGAAAAAAAAAGAGGAATTTGCTTCATACTGTATAATTGTCATGATGTTATTTTCAAGAAGATGGGCGACCAAGGCGAGCGAAGTGCCTATAGTGTAACAAACATGAAGGTGAAAAATTAAATCTCAATTATAACAAAATTTTCTTTGATATTTCATCTAACATTAAAATATACTTTATGTAAAACCTCCACAATTTCCAAAAATCTCACAAAGATTGAAATTATTTGCTTTTGAAATAGATACACACACTAAACAGGGCAAAAAGGATCATTTTCTCATACTATAACATAATTTTTCGATATGAGTGGGTCTTCGCTCCATTTTTTTGAAAGTTAATCATCAAAGTTTGCGTATAAATATACATATTTTGGTTAACAAAAACATGGAGCAAAGACCCACTATATCTTAAAATTACACTATTATGACAAATATTAGCATCTTTCCGAGAAATACCCTTTAGTCAAGGGTCATATCAAAAACATGATTTAAATGTAACTATTTATCAGGAGCAGTGTAGCGTAGTGGTTAGAGCGTTAGTTTCAAACGAAAATTATACTCAGGATTTTTATTTCTAGGGTTCGAACCCCACGAATACCACATTATTATTTTTAATAACAAATTAATTTCTGCTGGGAAAATTTTCCTCAGAATAGTGTTGTTTATCATAATTTCATAAATTTCAATAAAGAGAACTTTACTCTAAATACTTAATTCACAAACTGAATATGATTTTTACATATCTGAAGCTACATGTATAGGCATTCTCCACGCCTTGTTCACCGATCTCCTTTAAGGGTACATGTAGGGAGTAAAAAAAATTCAATAGCCAGTTTTTATATTGTATTTACTGCCACCCAAAAATTTCATAAATTTACAGCGCAACACAATATTAATGAGTATCTCATGAAAATACTTTTCTTTTATTCAGTTTTATTATCTGTTATGACCAATACATAATGGTTGATCTCGTATGTAGTTCTACATGTTCTAATATTACAGCAATACGTATACATTGAACACTTTAGCTACAAGATGTCTTTTTGAGTATTGCTAATTTCCATGTAAAACTTTTCTTTATTGAAAAAAAAAATAATATCTGAAATTATTAATGCATCAGAATTAAACAAACAATTAAAATCAGAGTTGACAAAAGCGTTCACACTGATATGTACATCTAAACAATGTACTTGATTGATTGATTGATTGTTGTTTTACGTCCCGTTCGAGAATTTTTCACTCATATAGCGACGTCACCATATACCGGTGAAGGGCTTCAAATTTAGTCCTTTACTTGGCACTTAGGGCCATTGAGCAGTGAGGTATCTTTATCGTGCCAACGCCTGTCGTGACGCGGGGCCTAGTTTATTAAGGTCTCATCCAAAGGACCCGGGACTTTCACTTCGAAATGCCGAGCGCTTGGCGAAGTAACAGTTGCTACCTATTTTTTATCGACTTAGGTCAGCCGCGGCCGGGGCTCGAACCCACGACCTTCCGATCACGGAGCGAGCGCTCTACTAAATGAGCTACCCTGACCGTCTACATGTACTTGATAATGACAAAAGAACAGACGCGATATATATCATCAGTGCTTTTAAGAGAATGTTAAAAATGTAAGTCTTTATAGTGGTAATCACTGATTTTATTGTTGTAGATAAGACACATCGCCAGGAATAGTATTTGGGACATGAACAGTAGGGTTGCTCGGAAAAATCTCAGGACCGAGAGGAAAATGTTTAAAACAATAGCATATATGTTAGGTAAGTCGAACATTGTCTGAAAAAATGTATGAATGATTTTAATTAGTGATACTCCTTTTTAACTGCTCGCTTTTTTTTATTCTTCAGCTGCTGTAACATAAACATACGTGAAGATATAAATCATAATCGAACAACTTGTTTTTTTTTTTCAGTTTATTTTATTTAATGATGATGATGATGATGTTATATTTATTTCAGCATCGTATATTTGGTCCTGGACTCCATACACTGTGGTCAGTGTGTGGGCTATTATTGGAGAGTCCAGGGACATTCCCACCTACATTATCACCATCCCAGCCATAGTAGCCAAGTCTTCTTCTATCTGGGACCCTCTCATTTACCTCTGGACCAACAAACAATTCCGGATGTCCTTCTACAGCACCATACCGTGTGCAGACCTCGGGAGAACAATGATAGAACGAGAGGAGAAGAAAAACAAACAATCAGAAAATTCAGACCCTGAGGAACCGGAAGTGCGTCAGAAAGAAGAGCAGCCGAAGCCCAAGTTGCAGACTCAGGTAGTGCCGATTGACAACGCTCTCTCAGAAAATGGTCAGCAAACAGACGTATGTGCAGATATTCAAGTCCCTGTCCCAAGTATACTCAAACCGGGCCCCTCCCAGCCTAATGATGATAGGTGACATAATGAACCAAAAAAGTGGCGGCACACGTAGAGCACTTCGACATAAGCATTAAAATATCTATATCTTTAATTATACAAACAGTTGGAGAAAACATACCTTTTTTTAAATCTCCGTGTCCTTTCATAAGTGGTACAAAGAAAAAAATTGACAAGCTTGAAATTTGAGCTATGTATCTGTTATTTAACAAAATTCATGTATTGTATAATTGCATTAAAAGATAAACAGAAATATAATCTGATCTGATATTCTAAAATGCAAAATCCGGTTTATTATGAACTTTTAAATGACTTGTGTTTCTGTAAAGCTGTATTTTTTGGCACAGATTTGTGTATTTTTCTGTGTTGTGTTTAAAAGGAAAGAAAAACATGTTATAATTTCAAAAAAATCGATGAAATTAATCTTCTCTATTTTTTATAGCACAGAAATGCACACAGAAGTTCAAAGCTTGACATACTTTTCTTACTTTTCCCAAATTACTTATTAACCTATTTTGAATTGATTTAGCTTCATTGTGCACGCAAAGAAAACGCGCCTCGGGTAACACATATATCACTTACAAAATATATTGAAAAATTCTGTTTTGAATTATGAGATATTTTCACGTGTTAAAACGAAATGTTACAGAAAAAAATCATGAACTACAAATTTACTAGCAAACAAAATAGTCAGTTGCGTCATAAGAGATGGTTATCTCTGCGGAAAGCCACGGATAAAAAACTGTTTAACCGCATCAAATTACATTCTTTTAAGGTCATGATTGCCTAAAAATCTTTTGAAGGCACCATGATTTAATTAATATAGAATTGTTAAAATGAAGGATAAAAGCTTCCTACGTTTTCGCGATGTTTATTTTTAAATCAAAACATTTTTTATAATAAATAAAAATATCATCATATTAATTCAACAATTGTTTAAAAATAAAAATGTAAAGATGAAGAAGAACAGTGGTCATTCTAAAAAGTCAAACATTAAAAATTATGAACAGAGCCAAGATCGACGAATCTCTGAAAACAGAGGTAGTATCACGTACCATGGAGGAGTGAACAAACCCTTCAAACCGGTCACACCCGAGCTCTGCTCCTTGTCATGTTCGGGTAGACAGAAAATTCAAAAACAATTCAGTGTAAAAATAATGGTCTAACAATCTGTATGAACTACGCCAGTCGACTTTACGACAGGTTGTATTTGAATAAAGGTCATTGTATCGACCATAAAATTTGGAAAATGTTGACTTAATATTATTGTATCGTCAACTTATATGTCAGTAGCCTGTCTCCTTTTAAATATTGTTCGTACGTAAAATTTCCTCTTGTGCATCCAATCAACTGGAAGATATAAACTACATATGCAGGTGATAATTGTATATAAATAAGGGAAGGTAACGACAGAAAAGATGAAGTTATCCCGTTTTTCAGTTTGACATCAACGTCTTCTCTAGTAAAACATTCAAGTATGAAACAGATTTGACAGACTGTGGTGTCTTATTTCGAGTTCTTTGGATATATGGAATCAACGAATGGTATGAAAGTAAATATTCGTAATTGATAAAACGTTGTATATATATTTTAATGTCGAATTGAAGGCCACAGCAAGAGACTTCTTTTCATGTAAAAAATATTCTGAATATGTACTGCTTCATCGGAATATATATCTGCTAATAATGGGATGCAATTAAAACCCATGGGAATTCCAAAAGATTGTCGGAAGACCTGGGCCGGGTTTCACAAAACTATCGTAAGATTTGTCCTAAGATAGATCTTACGATCATCTTAAGATCTGACTTATGACAATCGTAAGATTTGTCACTGCTGTTTCACAAAACTATCTTAAGTATAAGAAATTTTATGACAAGTCTTAAGCAGAAATGCTTTGATACTCAAAATATTTAGATATATTAACAGTGTAGATAGGATGACATGGTCATCATGGACATGCCTGCAAGTGCGCGCGCGTGCAATGCGTAAAATGACAAATATACTTAATATAGCCGATTTTTTAAATCTTTTGATGAAAGAGCAAGAGCCACGAACCATCAAAAATGGCCCTGTCTCAAAAAGTAACGGGGTTTTGTCAATTGATAGTATAGACTTTTAGCTTTTCTTTGCCTTTTTTTCTTTTTTCGATATCGATTATATTTTTTGAACAAGAGAGTTTGAAGTATCACGGTGTTTTAAAAGAAAAATGCAAGTTGAACGTCATTTTCTGCAACTTAACGTCGTGGGACGGAAAAAATTACCTTGAGCAATTTTAAATGTAAGAAAATGTGACTTTAAATTAGAATTAGTATTAATTGGGATGGACATTTATCTAATAAACATCATAATTAGTTTAAGACAATTAAGAGCATTTGGAACTTGATTTTACATTGCAGTCTTTATGGCAACTGCATGTTCAACTGATAGAATTTTATAGATACATGTAGTAAAAATCATCTGGGTAACTGTCTGAAAAATTTTCACTCTACCTGGTCCCTATGTTAATGTAATTTTATAGAAGGAACATTCTATTTCTATCCCTTGAAGACATTTTTGAGCGATGCTTCGCTCCTTGTTAAGTACTGAGTATTGATCATCATAAACATTATACGATGATTAGATAGTAAGTCCAGCTTAGTTTTCCAGATATTTTTTTTTTTCGGACAGGCCTGCAAATATCAAGCTGATCTTTGGCATGCCCGTCCAGGCACGTAGTATCGTTTTTCAAAGTTGGGAAGGGGACAGTCAGGAAAAAATAATTGACAAGATACCTGAAATGATCTTAAAATGAACATTTCTGAACTGAAGAGCTCATTCTAAAACTGGATAGAAGTTTAATTGCAAAAAAGTTTTGTTTAAATTGAAAGAGATTTTTAATGCGATGCTTAGATCGATCCTGAATTTTGCGAGTATTTTAACATATAAAAGATCTAAATTATTTGGAAACGAGGAGGACGAAAAAAGTTAGAAGGACGTGTTTCTATTCAATTTATTTATTTGTAACAATAATTTGAACGTCATTTTTGAATCAGAAACAAGGAAAATCTTTGATAAATTTGAAAGGGGTTTTGCAACTTATCACAATGGTTTATTTAGAACACTGAACTCAATAAAACATTTTAACCCTAAATGTGAGTGTCTTTGGAGTAATATGGAATAAATGAACATTTCAAAAATATTCTTAAGAAAAATAAATTTGTTAAGAAATCACTCATTTTAGACTAAAGCAGGAAATAAGTCAGTCCTGTCCATTATTGAATATATAACACGGTATTTGTTACGACACCCTCTCCCCCCTCTTCTCCTGCAAAATATTCCAATATTTTTCTCCAAAATATCTTATCTGCAAGGAATTTGTAAAGATATAGAAGTCTGCGAAAATTGTATGATTTTTTTTCCATGTACATGTACAAAAAAGATTAAACAAAGCAATTTTTTATTATCATACGTAACCATAAAGAACAATCCACACTTACGATTTCATTTGCACATTATGTCTTTATGGTTTATAAAAAGAGTAGAGCTGTGTTTTTATTGCTGATATGTGGGTCACTATCATAAGTGAAATACATGTACAGGTTTTCATTTATTCTTGTTTTATTGTCTTACGAAATTGATTGATTTTATTCAACAAAAGCTTGCTTAAAAAAGGTCTTTCTCAGAGAAACTATAAGAGTTGTCCCTATATATATTTTTATTTCAGTTTTCTTTATGAAATATTTGTATTAAAAGTGTAGACAAGTTGACATGGTCATTATGCACATGCATGCCCGTGCGCGTGCATGTAATGCGAAAAAAGACCAACATACTTGATTGCCATAGTTAATGAATCTTACTGGGAATAAGGCACCAAAAGGGAGTTGGGGAGCATCTGTAACGGTCCCCGTTACAATTAATACTAGTTCAAAATATATTTACTTAACAAATAAATAAATAAACTACTCGCATTACGTTAGCTATTTTAAAAATTGCATAAGTTAGCAATGGTTGGTCATAGAAATTGTGATGTTCTTGTGGGGTATTGAATTCAAAATTAAACAATTTTGAATAAAGTTATATATGATATCTGGATCTTACATACATGTACATATTTACATGATGTTAAGAAGCAATTTTCGGGGGGGGGGTTGCAATTTCAGTTGAGAGGGGCACAACCAAAGAAAATTGCCTTGAAATGAATAAAGTGGCACAAACATAAAGTAGGTACATTTTATGCTTTCTATCGTAATTTATTGGCAAATTATCTCGGGGTGGGGGATGGGGGTGTCATTGTTCCGACTGGCCTGATATAGTCAAAAGGATTGTTCTATCTCTAAAAACCGTTTTCTTTAAATATCCCTCGGTTTTTAGCCAAAAGATATACTCTCGCCAGTTTCACTTTAGACTTAAGACAGGTATCTTGTTGTCTTAAGAAAAAGATAGATCTTAATATTATCATAAGATATGACAGTTTTGTGAAACGGGTATGGTGCAATCTTACGACAATTTTCGGTCTTAAGACAGATCTTAGTCATAAGATAGTTTTGTGAAACGGGCCCCTGGTCTCCGAAAACTACATAGACATTGTCAGTAAGAAAACCAAGCACCTTTTTATTAATATCAACCTCGGAGTAACTGTGTAAATATTGAAACAAAATAAGTTTGCAGATGACCAATGACAAGGTGTGTAAAGTTCCTTTTTTTAATTGAAGAAACAGTTGTTTATTTTGTCGAAAAATGAGTTTTAAGGATGTACAACACACCCACCCCAAAAAATTCCTGTCGTTTAATTATTTTCGTTATTTTTGTATATTTTATACACGACTATACCTACTATGTGTACGCACATTTTGGACAAAATCGTTCGAGTCGTATTTGGACAGGAAGTTCCAAAATTTAACCCCCCCCCCCCCCCCACCTTTAGCTGTTCACGAGGAGAAGAAATTTTCAATCAACCAAGTATAAAATCCTTGATTTTCAAAAAAGTCGGGAAAGCCTGGCGGTTAAACTTCATCGACTAATTCGTTTGACCATGTAACACAC